ATCGATATCGGTTATCGGCTACATGAGTTTTAAAATATCGGCATATCGGATATCGGCCAAAATCCCAATATCGTGCATCCCTATTATTTAGCCCATGGTTCCTTCTAATGCAGGACAATGCTAGACCTCATGTGGCTGGAATGTGTCAGCAGTTCCTGCAAGATGAAGGCATCGAAGCTATGGACTGGCCCTCCCGTTCCCTAGACCTGAACAACACAGACTGTCCAAGAGTTGCAGGTGCTTTAGTCCAGGTCTGGGAGGAGATCCCTCAGGGGATCATCCACCACCTCATCAGGAGCATACCCATGCATTGATTTTTGTGGGATTTTCTTGTCAGCACATTCAATTTTATACAAAACAAAGTTTAAAAAAACATTCAATGAGAATATTTCTTTCATTTGAATCCATGTTTTGTTATTTAAGTGGTCCCTTTATTTTTTGAGCAGTGTATATAAGAGGAGATTGTTTTCATCAGTGCAGGGTTTGCTGCTGTAGCACCTCACTGATGATCACATTACAGCACAATGCTTTACTAATATTTATTCTCTGCAAAGCCTGAGAGCCCGACTTAATCCCCAGCAACACGTCTAGCACAGAATGCAAAGTAGATCTTTTGCAAACATGAAAGAAAATTGGATGAAACGCACAGAAATGATTCATTAATCTTCTAAGACAATTCACAGTGATACATATTTGCTTCTCAGAGCAAATTCTGTTTAAAACTTTTGTAAGCAGGAATGTTTAGTTGAACATTTGCCACTCTAAAGCCAGGCTTTGTGATCTTATGGGATGGACTGACACAGAGGACTATGGTTATGAGGGGGAGGAGAAACTATATGTTTTTGTATAGGCTTTAATAAGGAGCACACTGGAAAAAATCGAAATCTAAATAAGTAATTTTTTCTTAAAATAAGTGCATTTGTTCTTGAATTCAGGAGGTAAAAGAGACATTTTGCCAATGGAACAAGACAATTTACACGTAAAATAAGAAAACACAATTGCATTGTCTTATTTCAAGTGCAAATTCTCTAATTATCTTATTTTAAGAGTAAAAATACTCATTACAATAGCAAACTATCTAATTTACCTACTTAGAATAAGGATAAATACACTTAACCTAAGAAGTTTTTACTTATTTATAGATCATTTTTGCAGTGCAAAGATGGGTGGGGTGCATTCTTTGAAAGGAAACCTCTGGGACCCCCTACAGTTACACAAGAGGGGATACAACAACCACATGGAAGGTGCTCATTGCTCAGTCTTGGTGAGAGTTGGAAGTGGTGGGAGCATCATAATGTGGGAGTATTTCTTTCTTTGATGCACCCAATAAGACACTTCAAAAACAATCTAGAAATAAGTCAAAATGTCTTAAATTAAGTGTATTTACCCTTGATTTGAGTAGGTTGATAAGATGAT